AATTAGAGACATGTCATGATAGATCATCCCATCTTAAATAAATCAACAATGTTTTGCGGCAATTTGTAAAATCAACTTCAGATTTCTATTGTTAAGTTTGAATCATTTTGACACATTAAACATTATGAATATAAAAAATAGTGAATTTTTAACCAATTCACTCCGCCATAAATTTAGAAACGGCATGCTGTATTGCTTGATATTCCCACCGGAAGTTTCAATACGAACATTTCAGAGTGTTTTGGGTGTCAATCTGAGGACAGTGTAGAGGATTCGGAAGAAGCTGAACGCTGTATCCAGTTAACATCATGCTATTTGGAGTGATCACTAGTAATGGCGACTTTATGCCTCAATTCATCTTCCCACAAGGCCTCAGACTCAACGCGGAGGCCCACATTAAGGGCTTTTAGGAGGTAGTGATGCCCTGGTTCAAGAGGTTGACTGTTGGAAGACCCTATGTCTTACCACACAAGCAGGAGAACCCAGTCATGTCTATCAGACAATTTCTGCGACCACATCACCCCCTCACATCAGTCCACCTAACTCCCCAGACTCGACCTCCTTGATTATTATGTGCGGGGTGCAGTTGACCGAGAAACCAGAAAAAACTCCTTGTAACACCACAGATGAACTGAATGTGACGATTATGGTAACATTCACCAACTTAAACAAGGAGACCGTCCAGAAGAGTTGCAAGAGATTCCCAAGTCGCCTGAATGCCTTGATTGAAGCCAATGGCGATTTTATTGAATAAATTTACTCTTTAGTATTTCAAGATATTTTTGTCTAATTTTGGTAAATATATCCGTTAAAATGAGATGTCAGTGTTATTTTCATTGTTGCGTAATTTAGACGACAATTTATACATCGCATATTGTATACATATATATGTGTGTGTATGTATCTCATCAAATTTCATCTATTATTGCAGTTCCACAGAACGGAATTGGGATTGGGCAATAAGCTAAGAAGAAGCCAAAAAAAATGTGGAGGCGGACTATGGGGTTGCTATAATAACGAATGAAAAGGTAAGTTAATGATCTATTCATGGATTGGGAAGGTAAATAAAAAAAGACGACAGACAGGTTTTTCCTTCTTGGTTTTATTGACTATTACCCCTTTGAAATTTTAAACTATCTATGAAGCACGTTTAATATTATCTTATTGAAGTGTAATGTATCAATATTTAATCGAAAGGTAGGTAGATAGCAAAAACGATATTAAGAGATAAAGATATTTTCTTTTAAGAAACGTTTCAGTTTCAGGCTTGTAAATGAAAAGCCTATTTTAAAAAAAAATTTCATTAAAAAGAATAAGAAAAAAGTATTTTTTTACTATCGAATATCTATCTCGATTATCTATCTATCTTGATTTCCCGTACCACGATTTTCCGGACTTTGTTTATCGAGACGTGAACTGAGGAGCAAAAACACTAACTAAACACATTCCTAACTAAACACATTCGTATATTTCATCTTAGGCAAGCGTTTTTAGAACCTAGAAACACATACTTGTGGTTTTCATTGTCGTTTTTCATTTCTTTAAATTTTTGTACCCACCATATAACCAATTTTCCCAAAAACCTTTTCGATGAAATCCTTTCATGTTATAAAAATCATGTTGAACTTTCCTTATTTTCTTCCATCCGGAAAAAAATGATGATGATGTTTAAACCTCAGAAGATAGACAATTGCGCCTTCTTGGACTAACGGTTTCAGCTGACATGAAGTGGAAAGACTATATTGAATCAATTGTTCAATCTGCAGCTAGGAAAGTTGGTTCATTCTGTCGTACTAAACAATTTTTCTTGCCAGAATCTATTTATTTATTTATAAGTCTACATTTCATCTTGAATATTGAATATTACATCTTCCACATATATATTTAGAGATTCTTGATAAATATATTATTCATTTCATATTATTAGTCCTGACCTGGCATCGCGGCTTAAGTCTCTTTCCCAGCGTCGTAACGTAGTTTCCCTGTGTCTTTTCTATAAATACTTTCATGATAATTGTTCTGATAAACTTTCATCTGTGCTACCTAGACTTTATTAATTTAAGCGCAGTACTAGATTGGCGGATACATCTCATTATTTTACAGTTGAAATGGTGAGATGTAATCGAAACTTTTATGCTAACAGTTTTTTCTATTGCATTTCTCGCTCGTGGAACTTTCTTCCGGATTCTTGCTTCCCAGTCAACTTTAATCTTCAAAATAACTGCAATGTCAATCGTTATCTTCTGTCTTCTTATTTCTTATTCTTTTATTGTCCTCTCTCCTTAATAGTAGTTTTTCTCATATTCTCTAACACTCAGTAACGTCTTGCGTCTAAAAATAGTAGCTTTATTGCCTTGGTTGGAGTTAAATGATTAAAAAAAGAAAGTTAATACTTGTTAATTTCCTTATTGTTTTCATCCAAAGAACATCTGATTAAAATAAACATTTTTTCATGAAAAGAGAATACAGTTTCACAAGTTTTCATCAATTGGAAATTTTTTTGAAATATTTTTTTGATTTTTGTAAATCGCTACTGTAGAGTTTAGTTAAATTTTATAAATTAGGTTGACGAATTATTTTCCATGCATTTTTTACTTATCTCAAGACTTTTGGATCGCCAGCAAACTTTATACTATTTCGTTTTATATTATTATAAGTTTATCTAATTTTTATTTTAGTTTTAAATTCAGAATTCACAGTAAAATAATCCGAATTCTACCGTCATAAAACCATCATTTTATTTATTTTGTGTTTAAAAATGAAGGACAAGTTATCTCAGACAGCCATTATCCAGAAATTATATTTGAAGAACAGATGTTAAAAAAAATGCTTTTTAACGACTAAAGGCAAACGGCTTAAAGACGTTGACGAAAACTTATGGATAAATTTAATCATCGAATGTTAAGCAACATCGGCTTGGTTCATGTTTATATATATTTTGATTTAAAAACCCCAAATGAAATGTCCCTTGGATGATATATGAATAGAACAATATAAAACTGGAATTTTAAAAAAATCGAGTTGGTTTTCCAGTTCGTTTTTTCATTACAATTAAAAAAATAATTACCTGGGAAAGGTATGAAATCATTCTTTTCCCACCAGCTATTGGTTAAAAAAGACATTGTATTTTTAATGAATTATTCTATATATATAACCCAAAATTCATTTTTTTATTAAAATGTTTTCTGGTTTTAAAAAATATTGTCAAAATAGTAATGGTAATTTAAATTTAAAATTTTCAAAATTTATATTCATCATTTAATATCAAACCAATTTTGATGGTGTAATTCAGAGAAAAGACTCACGGTTGTTAATTGAAGAACCGAGTTCCATTTTTCGTTGGAATCATTATATTACGCGCAGATACTCTTGGGAAAGATAAATTGTGGAATAATTTTATTCATTTCATTTAAATTTAAAAAGTTCAATAGTGTCTTATGATCAAAAAGATTTTTTAGTTTTAAAACGTTAATGGTTTTTTGTTAAAAATTAAAATTAATCGTGAATGAACATTCTCATTTTTGTTTGTACCATTTTTTTATATTCATTTTTGTAAAAATATTATTATTATTATTCAAAATTATTATTATTATTACTATTATTACTTTTCTTTTAATTTCTGTTTTAATGAGCTTTCCTTCCGGGTTTCAATCAGAGAATAAGTTGCTCAGAATTTTTACACTGATCATTTTTTGTAATCGAAAAAAAACAAACTTTAAAAAAAACTAAGACCACAGTCCAGGAGGTCTTGACAGATAAATCTCATTGAGTAATAGATGATCTGTGCTTTAAAGAATAAGTATTTCATTAATTGATGCTGTACCAGGAACCCTTCAAAAGTCTGTATTATTAATTATTACCAAATTATTTTTTATTATTATTATTATTATTATTATTATTATTGTTTGTTGTTGTTTTTGTTGTTGTTTTAAGGGGAGTTTTGTTTTCTGGTGTATACTAAATTTAAATTTTTCAGGGTCCGTAGTTGATAAAGGTAAGAAATTTCATCATGCACATTTTCCAATGAGCATATTTAAAAAAAATTAAAATATTTTATATAAAACCCTTTTTAAGTTGCAAAAAAAAAAGATGTTTTTTTTTTTTTGTATTTCTTTTATTGTTTATATTTACTAAATGATTCCTTCAATGATTCTATTGGAATATTTTCAATCAATCAGCAATCAGGTTTGTATTTTACAACCAGAATGATGTTAATGTCCGATAGAACTGGAAGTACAGTTCAGTCTTCATAAATTCAATTAATCTATTCTCCATTAAATAATTTGGACAATTTCTTGAAAAAACATGTCGCATTTTGCAGTTTCAAAAAAATGATAAGCTATTTCAATAATCTTCGTTACAGAAAACTAAATTTCTTTGTCTTTTATAATCTTACCAAGTCTCATTGTTTTTTTTTTTCCCTTGTCAGTTTGAATTGGTATGTATTAGTCATTTTTATAGTTATTTTGAGTAACAAGAATCAGGTTCTAAGGAAGTATTTATTTTAGTAGAATTATTTATTTTATTTTTTTTTTTTAACCAAAAGAACCTTTATCATATTTGTAAGGAACTGGATCTTTAATTTGTTTGTTTCTTTATGCTGTCAAGAGGCACAGTGGAGTAATGGATAGCGGCTTGGATTGAGGAATCAGAGAGCCGAGTTCGAATTTAATGGGAAAAATTACATTCACTTGCGTATTTAATTACTTGAGAAAGGTGTCAGTATACTTCTCCCTCCAGCTATGGGTAAATAGCAGGACAGACTGGGATCTATAGCCTTGGATGGCAACTGGTCTGGAGAAGGATA